ACTCATGCAAGCAATACCCACATCGAGCCCCATCCTGAGCTCTCACAACACATGCAATGCCATGTGTATGTATCCGGGTATTCCAAGTCCCCCGTCATTGGTGTTATGTACATTCAATAACTAATTAATTCATTTTCTCGTGTTTTTGTGGGGAGATGATTTATGGTATTACACCAATGAGACACCAACCACCAACGGATTCTCAGGACATCCCACTTGCGGCTCCGTTTTGGCCGTTACACTTTTCTGGAATTTCACCGCTGAAAAGTGTATAAACCAAGTAAGTAAGTCTTGCACCCGAGGGAGAATTTAACCCTTCTTGCTATCCCCGACATGTTTATTCATTTACTTTTTCGTGTGACTCAGCCGGATTTTGGTGCGACTTTTTCGAGCCCACAATCAACCACTTATGTGATGATTGATTTCATACCATGCACACACTCCCACCCATGTCAATGCCCATGAATATAATGTAACTCATGCATAATACAATTCAATGTGCAATTGCCTTTTATACCATTTACAATGTCCATTACATAAAGAATGTAATATAATGACCTTTTCAACATGACAACATATTTATCAATTCTATAAACATAAGCACAAGTCTACCACAATAATCATATGCTAAATAATTATTTAACATACATATTATTCCATAATCACATAACAAGCTAATAATTTTATTAAACTTAATATGCCATTTAAAACATAAAATAATGCTAATATACAATTAACATGCTTTAAACCATTAACATTAACTTACACCAAGTTAATCATAATAGAATTTTACTAATCACAAAGTTAATTATAAATCATATATTTGACTCACTAGTCAAGACCTAACATGTGATGTACATCCTTGGCCTACCCATTCATATGTCATATTTTAGATTGAAATTAAATCTAAATAGGAAAACCTTATCTCTCGTAGCGTGAGCCCACGTACTGGAACTCCGAGGATGCCCAACTTAACTTCCCAAACTTTAGGCCTAGATTATCGTCTTTGATATTTGTTTGGAGAAAAATACGATATTTGTTGTGGTTGCGTAGCTCTCGTTGAGTAGAACAACTTTAATTCTTTGCCCGAAGCGATTAAACGGTCCAATCTTCGTAGATCTAATAAAGAAGGAAGGAGAAAAATTAAAAAAAAACCTCACCTTTCTCTCTCTCACTCTCTTGGTTGTACACTCTCTCTCACTCTCTTGGTTGTACACTGGAAGAAGAAAAGTGGAAGACTTTTGTCTTCCACTTATATATATATATATATATATATAGTATAACTTTATTTTTTTAGAAATTTATGTTTTTGACCCGTAATTTAACAATTAATTATTATTTTATCCCTTTAATTAGGATTTTTAATAATAATAATAATATTTTTTTCGGGTTTTACACATCTATTGTGCGAGAATCATCCCGCACAGTTTGTATTAGGTCTAAGTCATGCATTGCCTTGTCCTATACATGAATTATTTATTGAGTATGCTTAACATGCCGATTCGCTTATTATCTGAACTAGTTAAAACTAAACTTATGTTTGATCAATCTGTATGTTGTCTGGTCACGCCAATGAGCCGCATTAAGAGATATCAGCTTACTACTGCCCGATCCAATTGGTTATGACATTTTTTCGTAGGTTCTCAACTTAGGTCCAAACTAGAGTCTTTTTCTCCAATTTAATAATGTAGTGAAGTTCTTTTCGGTTTAAAGTTAAACTATGGATGACATTGTTTTTGTTTTTGAGAAAGAACAGTGTTGTTGCAAAATGGTTTCCATGAAAACATTCCACATCTGGCATTTACAAATGTTCATGGTATCTTATGTGAAAATTGAAGAGTTAATTCTGGTTGCGCTCGAGGTTAGTGGTAGGCCTAATGACTACCGTTTGGTTGTTGGACTTAAGGTTGCGAGTTCGAACTTCATTGTTCCCCTCTCTTGTAATAATGTTTGATAATTACTTTTTATCACTCTTTAGTGTCGACTAGAAGTACTTTACCTACTTGACGTTTAAAAATATGTACATTACCCTCTTGTAGTTATGTACCAAAGTAAAATGGTTACTTTTATCATCAAAGTTAAAAAAAAATGTGCTCCACATATCTAAAACCATTGTTTCTCTCCAAAAAAAAATTGTCGAAGTGCCTAAAATAGTTTTTATAATATATGGTATAATACCCAAATAGGTAAGACATTGGTCCCAAATTCAAAAACATGTAAGACAAATATAAGTGATTTTCAATTTCGAATCAAAACCTCACTTGAGGAAATCTGAGTTCTTATCCATGGGCTAACAACTCATTGGTCGATTCTGTTAACGAGTATTATGGTAATTATTAAATTTCATTAACGGCATCAGTTACTTTACTTTGATACATAATTATAACGGATATTGCGCATAATTTTAAGGGTAAATTACATATGAACCCCCTGAGGTTTGTCACTAAGTTTCTACATATGAAAGTTCTTAAATTTTTTTCATAAAAATAAATTAAACTATAAAATAAGTCACGTTTAAAAACAAAATTCAAGTTTAAGACCATAGTTTTTCAAAACTTTCATCACATAAAGAATTTAATCTTTTAAAACTAAATTAAGAGTCAAAAACATTTTATCTATTTTTAATATTTTAAACCTATATTGGATTAAAGGAATAGTATGATTTTTATTTAAGAATATTTTTCTTGCTGATAATTTTTTTTTTTTAGTGCTCCAGTTATTTCTTCTTTAACATTAATAATCACGCACACTGTATGCCTGCGATATTTTTTTCATCTGATGCTTGACACATTAAAAGAGATTCAGTTTGACTGTCTAATAGATTATTAAAAGTAATAGAATAGTTGTTGAACCATTGTGTAATATAATGGTAAAAATCTCTTTTATAATTTTATGGGTCCTTTAGAAGTCGGTACACTAAATTAGATATAATTATAAAAAAATATACAAAATAAAATATTTTGGAAAAAAAATATATAATTGAGATACAAAGATGTAAATGTTCATTTTGTAAAATTTATTTCTTAAAAACTGTAACAGGACATTTATCTTAAGCGCTGAAATTTAGGATCATTTAATTCGAAATCTCTAATGCACTTTGATTCATGCGTATTTTTTTTTGAAAAGTAGTTTTGTTTTTAAATTATATTTATGCATTAAATATCTCATAGTTTTATGGAAGAACTTTAATATTTTGTTTATTTTATGATATATCACTTTGTTTGAATTTCAAAATTTGTTAATGTCCGAACTTCATAGCAGTGTAACAATACACTATAACAAAAACAGTGTTAAGTTGTTTTGTGCATGTGGTAACAAATTCTAAACAGAGATAAACTGTTTTGAATGAAATTATATAAAAATATATGTTTGACAAAATGTAATAGTACAATATTTTGTGTAAATATCTTATTACATTGTTATTATTACACTATTATTATTATACTGGAGTTCGGATATTAATATAATTTAAATATAAAACCACTTTCTAAAAAAAATGCGAATGAATTAAGGTGCATTAAATATAAATAGAAGGACTTGGTTGAAACAAATTATATAGTTCATGAGACAAAATGAGCAATTGAAAGTTTATAAACAATTTTAAAAAAAGGCATAGTTGAGGGGTCTTATGAAGCACAGATATTTGGTCAAAGTCGACGTACTCATATCGAATACGATACTTGTCTGATACTCGATAATACGTATCGAATACGCATCATCCGTATCGAATGCGCATCATCCATATCCGATAATTAATAAAATATGTGGATATTTCGTGAATACTTCTAAACATGAAGTAAAATGTATAATTTTTAATTTTAAGCTATTCTTCTTCTTTGGAGTTCACATCCAATATAAAAAAATCAACAAAATTTCATTTAATTTTGAAGACACGAGTGTTTTTTAAGTATTATCTATTATTAAATGTTAAGAGAGTATAAAAAAAAATGAGTCACTTACACTATATTTTTAAAAATAAATACTTGTAAAATCAACTAGTTAAATGTGGTTATAATTCATTCAATTGGTCATGCTCATTTTATAAACATATCATAATGAAATGATGTTAAATCCTTTTTATGGTAAAAATTCATAATTTTACTTACTAATATTAAAAAATTATAATTTATAAGTCGTTAAATAATAGTAAAATATAAAATATATTTTATTACAAATATATCCTAACTGTACCCGTATCCTATTTTTTTAAGTTTTGTTGTATCACCGTATCCGTATTGTATCGTACCCATGTCACGTATTCGTATCCGTGCTTCCTAGGAGGGGTCATTCTGAATAAATTTATAGTTACCCTAAATTTATCAAAATTAATTGGTGATAATATCATGATCCTCTTATTTACTCGTTATGATACGGTGTCATTAATTGAAAAAATTATTTTCACAAGTAATAATTTTACACAATACGATAATAAAAGTGTGTCATAAATTGAAATATTATTTTTTATATAATTCACCTTTATAAACTAATTTTATAAAAAATTTCCCAATTTTTAAAAAAAATCTTCTTTAGTCATCATACTTCTCAAATCAAATATACTTACTTGATAATTACAACCATTGTTTTTCTTGTGGGTTTTAACATTTATTAGAATTCATTACCTACTCAATAATTATGATTATCAAGTTTACTTTTTAAGTCTAGTTTTTTAGTTAATGTAACATTTGAAAACATAGAGATCAGGTTCTATTCTCTTTTAAATATATGTCATTTAAATTTAAATTTATTTTTTTTTAATTTTAAATTTTTTATTAAAATATTTTATATCAAATCAATTTTTTTTGGTCTGACTTAAAGGAAAAGTTTTGGGTCAGGGCGTCCAAGAAAGTCCTTCCGTAAGCGTTGGGTCATGGGTGTTACCTTTCGGCCCGGTTAGTTGTAGGCTGGCCCTTTTTCCCGGTTCGATCTTAGTTCAATAGAAGCTCCGACACATCCATAAGCAAATTTGTATTCATGAATATATATACCCATTACCCACGCTAATGAGGGAGAGACAGAGAGAGGGTTTAAATTCGCCGAATCTTCAAGCACACAATTCAAGCAAGCTTCAATTCGAACGACTTCTATGGTGATTTATCTCCCTTTTTCTGAAAGCGGTTCGTCTTGTTCAATCGAATCTTAGCCTGTGTTTTTGCATTTAGTCTATGTATGATGAGAACTGCTATTAATGTCTCTTGAATTATCAGACTTCAGCCGTTCTTCAGCATCATATTGAATATTAATTTTCTTCAGATTTTATATATATTTTTGAAAAATCAACTGCAATAAACGATATTTGTTGGTACATTGGCCACTGGTGCTTTGAAGAGAACATTGTTGAATTCTTCATTGCTGCGCTTCGCGAGTAGAAAAATTGTGCGAAAAACAGAAATACTTGCTCAGTTGATCGCGATGGTAGGATTTTGTTACGTTTATGTGTTGTTAATTAAAAAGAGAGGCAAAGTAGAAAATGGAATTGCCCTTGTGTTTTCAGATGGAATCACTTCATTTGCGGAAAGTTTTCTCTTTAATAAGTTTCGGTAGTACCAAAATCAACAAAAAAGAAACATAAAATTGCTATAGATGGTTTCACTTTATTTGCCATAGTTTGGCATCGGGAGTTAAACCTAAACGAGGTATCACTGCCCCTCTCTAAGTAAATGTAAGATTCTTAACCCTATTGATGATTCCAGCTAAAATACACCACTGTTTTTGGCTTCTTGTTTTGTATCAGTGTAGATAGGGTTCAATTTGCATAGTTCATGCAAATACGTAGGCCCCTTCCCTTATCTTTTGGATGAATGGGGTGATTTAGAAGGTGCTTTCCGATATACGGTCTCTCGGTTGAAGAAAGTAGGATTGCCTTTAAGTGATGCGTGTCATAGGTGTCATGTAAATAGTAACTATAATATTGCCTTACTGATTTTAGAACTCTGCGTAATCTCAAATGCAGGTGGGATTTGATCATGGTTGATAATAAGTTGCAAAGATTGGGAAGTTAGATTGCCCTCTCCATATCCTGCAGTGGCGAGAGCCACACTGAACCATTTTTTTAATTTATGGTAGTCAATTTTAACCTTGGCTTTAGTTGACCATTCTATGTTTCTTTGTTTTGATATATCAACAAATTTTGGCATTTCGAATTTTTGAGAAAACAATAACGTTTAACTATATGATGGACTGTTACCAAGTGAAGATAGAGATTAATCATAAAACTGCAGTGGAGTAAATTTTTGGGTGCTTTTAATTTTAAGTTGATTAGGCATACCTGAAAATGAAGATTTTAAAAAGTATCCATTTTAGTGATTTTACAAAAATTAATCTAATTATGAATGATTAAAGCGGAGATACATTATAGGCTGGAAACTACATGGAATTGAACTTAGAGAGACACAAATTTTGTCGGGAAAAATTAGCCTACAACCAGCTTGATGTTTTGAAGATTGGAAACATTCCATTAGGAATGTCAATCGTGTCGTGTCGTGTCGTGTCGTGTCACTTTTAATAAAAAATTATTTAATTTTACAACTCATATAATACTATTTGAAAAATTCTAAAATACTTAATTGTCGGTTACAGTACACATTAAATACTTATTTTCTATCTACAACATCCTTTAATGGTGTTATTCATGTCTAACCTTAATTTGACCCATTTATTATTCAGGTCAATTAATCGTGTCATTTTTTAGTTTTGTATCGGGTCGGGTTCGTGTTAATTAATCCTCCCACTTTCTTAATTTAACTTTTGTTTATTCTATTTGTAACTTCATATACATTTACAGATTTTCAGCTACCAAATTACTTGCATGGGACAAGAGAGCAGTCAAAAAAAGCAAATATTTGATTTTTGAAACAGTGATTACATGGCTACAATGCCTTCCTCTGCTTCAATTCTTCCATGGATGTGGGTCATCGAAACCCTAGCAAGCTCCAAGAAAGTAGATGCACCTCTTTTAATTGGTAAGTGCAAAGTTATCTCTTCATTTCATTATGGGAGCTTTTGTTTATTGTTCTGTTCTGTTATTTTTCTGTGAGGAAGGTGTAGGGTTGATTTTCCTGGTTTCTGTATTACAGATCTGGTTAAACGGACCCCAGAAATCTCTGATGATCTAGGCAAGAATGCAAGGGAAATGGTGTCCTTAAGAATTATGGAGAGTTTGTTTACTCAAGGAACAAGTATCACTTGTGATGCTGCTTCTGCCCCAGATTCCAAAATCGGGATTGATCCATCAGACTGCTGTGAAGATGTCCTTCGAAGCTTACTTCATGAGGTAATATGCTTTGATTCACTTGAGACATTTAAATGTTTGGCTTAGTTCTTTAAAGAAATTGAATTTGGGGAAACCTATTATTTCTGACCCCAACCCCATATGCCCATAGGGCCTCTAAGAAACCAAAATTTTTAATGTGTTGAAATATGTTTTGTTATGTGTAATTGTGTATATTTTGCCAGACTTCTGCATCAGATCTGAAAAAGTGTGGGCCAGAGATGTTGAAATGGGATGTTCAGCCTTTTCTTGCTCATAAAAGAAGCTGTTTGCCCAAGTGTGCTTTACAACAGGTAAAATTGAAATTTTTTTATTAGGTTTATAAATTTAAGAAGTGGCATAAGCCTGAAAGATTTTTAATGTTTCTATTTATAGCTTGTTTTTTGGCTTGTGTTTGTTCCTGACAAGCAGCTGAAGGATGTAATTGTTGAAGGCAACCATCCACTTCTTGTATCCTTGAAGAAAAGGAGTGGGTTGGAAATTAGAAATCAAGATGAAATTAGAATTACTTTGGAGGATGGGGAATCCAATGGCGTTGCACGAAGACTTGAGGGTAGCAGCACTGATGGTCAAAAAATTGCAGCAAATGGGAACTTAATGTCTTTGAGCCCTGAAAATGGGGATGACCTGATCGAAGAAAAGTTGTCTAATAGAAATTCATTACCTACTAAGAGGGTTAGGACTGTCTTGACTGCTGAAAATCTGGAAGAACAATCTGTGGACTATGATTTTAATCTTCATTCAAACTCCACCAAGAAGCTTAAGCAGGATGCCACCTCTGCCAGAAAGGCTGTAGGTCAGAATGCAGATTGTCTACTTGGAACAGAACAGGTAGAAGATTCATCTGGTAGGAGTGTACAACCTACTGGAAGAGAAGGGTGTGACTTCTTGAAAGAACTTCAAGTGAGAGGCTTAGAAGAGAGCATGTTTTCTGAGGATGGTCATGACGAGGAATCTGCATTGAAGAGTCCTGGGCAGAGTGGGGATGTTGATGATGCTGACTTCCTGCATAATCAGAAGAAAATTCCTTGCACTGGCAATATATTTCCTGAAGATAAATCCGGAGATAGACAGGGCCAAAATATGAGCATTGATGAAGCCCAAGAGAATAGTGAAGGTCTTGCTGACATGAGAGCATCAGATAGGTTACACCAGGATGTAAACCAACAAAAGATTTCTTCTGATGGAGCCAAAGATGATTGTGAGCAGGGACTTCAACCAAATGCTCCTAGCATTGCACCCCTTAATAAAGTTAATGATGACGTGAATCATAATTGCGAACTAGAAATGTCTAGCGATAGTGATGGGTATCATGATGATAGGATTGATATTGCCACGAAGAAGAATACTTTTTTGAGTTCTCAGTGCACACAGAGTCAAGATTCATTGCTAACAGGTAACTTCTCAGAGCTCAATCTGTGTATGAAGTGTAATGAAGGTGATTGTCTGTTGGCTTGTAGTTCTGATGCTTGTCCATTAGTGGTTCATGAGAAGTGCTTGGGCTCTGCAGCCAGCTTCGATGGTAGTGGAAAATTTTATTGCCCCTTTTGTGCATATTCTCGAGCAATTTCAGGGTACCTGGAAGTCAAGAAAAAAGCTTCCTTGGCAAGAAAAGATATGGCAGCCTTTATTGGCTTAGGAACTGAAAAACGACCAAAGAAGTTCTCCAAGAGATTGCGTAGGTCAGTGCAGGAGACAAACAGCAGGAGGAATTATGTGAATGAAGTTAGTAACTCTCTAGGCCAGGAAAATATGGATGATAAGCAACAGGCGAAGTCTTCAGTATCTTGTATTAATGATAATCCACCTTGTGGAGAAAAAGATTTAGTGGCAATCAGTGAAACACTCGTTTCTTTGAGGAATGGTAAACAAGTAGGGGAAAATATGGTCCAACAGTGCGGATCTCCAAGAGGGCTAGAAGAACTGCAGACTGTGGTGCAACCTGTTTGTGACAGCGAAGCTGATAATTCATCTCGCAGGGACACACAAAGTGAAATGCAGCGAGGAGTTTTACATCAACCAGTTACTGCAAAATCTGATCATCCTGCATGCCCCACAAGTTCTGATTCTGAGGAAAATTCGGAAGAAGAAAATGATAAGTCCATTGCTTCTAATTACTCCATAAGATTCCGGAAGCGAGACGTGCAGTAGTAAGTTACTTGTATATAATGGTACAAAGGCTGTTTATTTGCTGGTTGTTTTCTTTGAATATAATTTTCACATTTTTTTCTCAAATTCTTCCCTCACTTATGCCGTATTTACTGGAAAAATTTCTACAAGTACCAACTAAACACCTTTTTCTGCAGTAGTGTTCATGGCCATTGGGGTTTCTATTGGTTTTTTTTTTCCTCCCACACTTCAACATGTACACTTATTCAGATACAAGCATTAGGTGTTGTGATGGAGTTTTGGGCTTGCTATTGACAAAGGAATCCCTGTTTTAATGTCCAGCACGTATCCAGCAATTCCTCTATTGAGACGCAAGAAACTCCTATGGACAAAAGTAGAGGAAGACACACTAAAGGTACTACTTTCCTGCTTGCGATATCTTATTACTGAGTGGAATTTTTGTTGTAAATACATGTAGTTGTATGTGTGTTTGTTGTTTGGGATTTTTTTCAAATGGGTTTAGTGAGGGAATAATGCAAAGCCCAATGAAACATTCTACAGCAAGGTAAACAAAGACATGAAACAAACAAATCAATCTTATTCTTTCTGATCAAATTGAATCCTACTCTTTTTCTTTTTCTTTTTGCCTTCTTCCTTTTTTAGGAAAGGGAGTACTTCAAGACTTTTAAGGTTGAAGTTTCCTTGTCTGAAGTTCCATCTGCTTGACAATCTAGATATGCTGTTCATCACGAATTAGAGGATCTTCCAACATTTTTTAAATATAAAATGATCATGTTTACTGTCATTTGAACAATGACGTAAAAGAATAAATAGAGGGAGAAAAATAAGATCCATGCCTTCAAATTCTTTTGAGGCGGCAGTCAGAGAGGGCACAACTTTCAAAAATTTCTGTTTCATGGAAGCCTTGAGAACAAATTTTTTATTTGTTGCCATATTCTTTTCCACAACTCAATGATGGAAGTACAAGTGCTGGGGATAAAATAAAACCAAGAAGAATTTGGACAAAATAAAAAAGAAGAAAACTTGCAAACAAACAAACGCCCAGGATGGAGAGCCTAATTTTTGGCATCGGCCTATATGAGAACATCGTAAATATCAATTGGAGAGCGAAGAAGACAAATGAGCTTACAAGATTCTGTCAGAGATTTCAATAAACGAATGAAATCTTAAACATTCACTGGGGACATTTTCACTAACATTCATCAGTAAACACATCTTCAGACCTAGGGAAGCATCAAAGCAGATGATCACCCCATCATTAATGCACCTGGGCTTGATCCTCCTTTTAGCCAAGCCTGAAATTTGACACTCTACGTCACCAGATGAATCTTGCTAACTTCACTACTTCTATTTGATAGGAAGGTCCTGTTGTGACATCTGTTTTGTCCTTAAATACTTTCCTTAGGATCTTGGAAGCGGAAAATAGTGGATTGAGATGATCGGGGAACTAGATTGAATCAGCATGTCTTACCTTTTGTTTGAACTACAATTCCTCATATTATTTTTCTTCTGGCAATCCAGCCTTCTCTTATTTCTTCCACATCTGGAATCCCCCTTTTTAATCTTTCTCAGCTATCACCATATGAAGGCCCAGATATTTTCTTTAACAACTCACTAACTTATCACCCAAGAGAGCTTGTGTGCCTCTGAAGCTTGTTACATTCACATCTCGCATTAATTTCTGCCACACTGCTATTAGATGGATTGATTCTAATCCTTGAGACCATTCTGAAGCACCTAACTTATGGAGTGAGATAAAGAACCTTTGATCATAACTAGAGGGAAAATTGCGGCAGTCTCCACCTGTTGAAGGTGGAAAACCTTAAACAGTATTTGTTTAAAACTTGAAACTCTCCACCAGGCCAACTCCCTCTGGTGAATCTGTAGGTGTTAGATTTAATCTTACATTCTATGGCTTTTAGTCTGAGCTGAAGTGGTTATACAAGTGACACCAATCATGTCTTTATTCTTTTCTGTTGACATGTTACTTTCAACCATTACCTGCCATTTCTTTTGCATCTATCATTATTGCTTTTACGGTTGCAGGAGGGAATAAGGAGATTTTCAAGTGTTCGTGATAGAAATATTCCATGGAAGATGATTTTGGAATTCGGAAGTGAGGTGTTTCAGAAAGGTCGTACCACTATAGACCTCAAAGATAAATGGAGAAACATTTGCAAAGGAAGCCCAAAATCTAAATGATGGTTTTAGCTACTTGGTCAGTTTGTGTATTTAGGTATCAATGTTTTATGTGCTTTTGAAGCGTTACTAATGTGCTTGTGCTTAAGCTTCACAAACTCTTAAATGAAAATTGGTTGATCATGAAACTTCTTTTATAGATTTTTACCTTTCCTGCTGATATTAGAAGTTGGTGATTTTGACCAAAAAGATGCCTAATTTTTATGATTTGGTTTCATTCTTGCATTTTTGCGCTAGTCTTCTATTGTCTGGAGGCATATTTTGCTCGGTAAGTTTGCTATAAAATATTCTAATATTGTACTGAAGCTAATATGACTGTGTATTTACATCTGTGCAGCCAATTATTGAAACACCTTATAGCCCGGTGATTGCCTACACTTTTGGTAGACTGGGAGGGGGTGTATACTGTTCATGCCAAGGGCAAAATGCCACCATCTAGGAACTACATATCCCGAGTATTGTCAAACTTCTACTAGTCTGTAGATTCATTGTAATTCTAAGGATTTATTCTCTATGCCTGATGGAAGAGCTGAATTATCGTCACAACAAACCTGTGCTTCTGGGTTTCAGTAAAATCCTCATAAAAAAATATATCTTCCATCATTTTGTTTCTACATTAGAAGGCTCCTCTGTCCAACATTTGTTTTTGTGTTTCATCTCTTTGATTTTTCCTTTTATTGATGGATGAAGATGAATACTTCTGGTTGTTCTTGGGTAACTAATTAGGAGCCCAATTTTGAAGCTCTTGGAGACGAGGAAGGGAAATAAAGATGAAGCTTCCATGGATTTATTTTTTATTCTTTCCAATGTAATCCATGGATAGCTAGGGGTCAGACATAGTGCAATGACAAGTGTTCATAGGTCCAAACTAAACGTCGTGGGTTCTAAGTCCGGGAATCAGCCTCTTTAAAATGGGGATAAAACTGTCTAGCACATATCTTTCTCATGTTCTGTTATAAACTAGAGTCTTGTACACTATGTACAACTTTTTAGTGATCCATGGTTGATACCGTCTTTCTCAGGTGCTCGGCGAAGTTGATGGTTGATACCGGTCTTTCTCAGGTTTTTGGCGAAGTTGATGGTTGATACTTGTCTTTCTCAGGTGTCTGGCGAAGTTGGTGGTCGGTGACGGTATTTATCAAGTGTTAGGATGCTCCTGCATGTAAACGAAAAGCTTGTGGTTGATTCGATGAGAGAAGCTTGATTCTTGGGTTGCTTTGCCTTGTGATGGCTCTTTTTGGTAATTATGTATTGCAAAGACATATTGATCATTGTATCTGTTGCAAAGCAGTGCTCTGAAGGGACTGAGTGTGTGCTTGGTACTTTGTTAAAACTATCAATCGGTTGAGGTAGTTCGAGTGGTATGGCTTTAGTTGTTAATACCTCGAGGTTCTAAGTTGTAGTTTAGCGAGTTGGGATGATTCTTGGTTATCAAAAGACATTTTTTAAGTGTTTATAAATTACATTTTTGGTTGTTATTTTTCCCTTTTTATCCTAAGGTTGTATTAAACACCGGATTGGTCCTCGTATCATGTGGAGAGTACTTATTTAGTGTTTTTTGTTGGTTCTAACAGTTAGGAGTGTTCAAGTCAGTTTATGTGTATTTCGAATAATTTTCTCCCTAGTGAAAGATAGATCATTCATGTTAAGACTAAGATAATCACGAGGGATAAATCTCTTATGACTTGACTTCAAGGAGTTGTTAAGATTTGAACTGCGGATGTTTGGATTTACAGCTCATTCTTATTACTATTTAAATTACCTTGAGTTAGAGTACTTATTTAGTTACATATTTGAGGTTGTGGAAATATTATTTGGGATGGAGTTAGGGTCCACAATTTGTTATATGATACGGTTAACTGATACAAAATAAGCAAAATTAAGATATACTAGTTATCATTACAAACCTAAAAATAATATGACTTTTTAATATGAATAATAAATAGATCAGTGTAATTTCAAATAAAAATAATTCAATTCTAATTTAAAATATATGAATTTATATCATGATCTAATATTAAGTGAATTTGGGGAATTAGAAAAAAAATTATTTGGTTTTGTAACACAACATAATTGGATTAACATCTTTAAATTTTTTCCCTATTATTATAATTATCACCGTCAATAATGTTTAAGTTAAAGGAAATTCACGATCTATAGATTACGATACCAAATTTAGTGCTATGTCTTCATAAATTTTGGTCATTGATTTTGACGCGGATGATTTATAACCATTAATTAAATAAAATTATAAAAAAAACAAATTGTAATGGGCCCTCAATCTCAACTCAAGGATGGTACGGAAATTATTATTGTCCAAAGCATTGAAATATAATGTTTACATGATCACGTGGCACATCATCAGTCATCACATCAATGTTATAACCATGTCATGGTCATTGCATCATCGTCACTCAACATCAACCCATATGGTTATTCATATGCGGCTTTGTCCTATTTACTGCCTGATGCGAGTTACCGTGCACAGGACTTACCACTAACCAGACTGTTCTTCACAATGGACTGCCTCCATGCATGTGTGTGTGAGAGAGAGAGAGAGAGAGAGAGAGAGAGAGAGAGAGAGTGGTTGCATGGGATAAAGGTGATGGAGGAGTCCCGGGATTCAGGTCGTGAATGTCAGGAGAACATGTGAATTAGAGCTCGTGAAAGTGAAAAATGTTGTGAGGTGGGTCTTCTTAATACCCTTCCCCAAGTAAAAATATTCAACTTCAACTCTCTCTCTCTCTCTCCCTCCCCGTGTGTGGGAGTGTGTGATTGTTGTAGAAGCAACAGGCCACCAGTAGAGAATCCAAGGAGAGAGAGAGCGTTCATTGAAAGCAATCTTGGGTGTTCTTAAAAACCTTCCCCAAGCCAAAATATTCAACACCAGTCTCTCTCTCTGTGTGAGTGTGTATGTGTGATTGTTATAGAAACATTAGGCCACCAGTAGAGAATCCAAAGAGAGTGCGAGAGTTCATTGAAAGCACTCTTTACCCAACTTCATGGTTCAAGTCACGCCATGTAGCAAATATCCGAGTCACTACCCTATGATTTAATGGAAATAGACTTGAATTTATTTATTTTTTTCGATATTACACTCAAGGGTACACACAGTTAGACTAATTTTCTTGTCAAAAACAGGTCATCCACATTGAAATTAAAAAATTCATGATAAACTCCAATGAATTTATCAAGTTTCAAATTCAAAACGTTTATATTTACAGCTCATCTACTATCTTTATTGAGCTACCCTTAAAATTGAAAGCTAACATTTGGTGTGCTTGAATATTAATGGCATCTACTAAGCAAGATTTCCTCTTGGAATTCTGCCTCTCTAGCTACCAAGATAATGGCTTAAACCTTTAGCAATCTTTTAGGGACTTGGTCTGATAAGTAAAAGGGGAGAACTATTACGCATCCATTATAATAGGGTAGTCAATCCGTCCATTTGTATTAATGAATGATTTATTATTATAATAGAGAATTACCCTAATTATGTGTTGAATTAACTCATTGCCAGGGGCGGAACCAGAATCCATTTGTAGTGGGGGCAACTTATTAATTATTTATAAGTAAAAATTATAATAAAAACCAATCAATCGAAATAATTTATACCGAAATATAATTTATTACATTCATAAATATAAGAATTCAATTTTTGAGAAAACAAAAACTAAGGATCCAATTATCGAGATAAAAAATTGAAGAGAACAGACAAATGACAACAGTCAAACTCGTCAAGATTTCGCATATAAATTTTAAATGATAATAATCGATGACTTGGCCTATAAGAAAAAAAGAAAATTAGAGATCAAAGAGAGACTAAAGATAAGATTACAACATTAAATCGTATGGAAAAAAATATCAATCTAAATATTTGAGTCATGAAAGAATTCAATTTTTCCCCTCCGAAATCCTGCAGGCAACATCCCCCACCAACTCTCATCTCTCCCTCTCCCTCCCATCTACCAAACCGGCGACATCCTCCACCACTCACAATCATGTGTGAGAGAGAGAGAGTTGAAAAATAGAAAATTACTTTTCATAACATAAATATAAAAAATGCCTCTTGTGTCTACAATAACTTTTCAAAGTAGCATAGCTTTTACATTACACCATTTTTCGTCATTTCGTTGTACAAAACTTTAAAACATGTTTCAATCAAATACCAATTACGTAGATGCCTTTAAAAGCCTCAGGATGACTTGCAGAAAAAATTCTTTCTCGATTTGTGATCTTGTGTCTCCATAACAAATGGTCCATCTATTGATGGGCGAACGACGAAGATTGAACCTCACATGCATCATACTTTATCAATCCACACTTGCATGCATGCATGTAGACCACATTGGCATGTTATAACCATATTGATACCATCACACCTAAAAATTAATGGGATTTGTATGCGATGAACAATCAAAGAAATAAAAAAATTAGAAGATGAACACAAGTATTTTATGTGGTTCGGCAACTTAACTACATCCCTGAGAGAGCGACTGTCTTGCTTTTATTTCACACTAAAAATAGAATTACAACTTAATATATATAGGTTACAACCTTAAATGGAACAAATACGTCGGCTCCGACAACTAGCCCATAATCTTCGAACCTGGTGTACCTCTCCATGTATTAGAATATGAGCCACCTATTCTAACAAAAATATATATAGAAATAAAGGGAATAAAAAGCAAAGAAAGCAGCAATTTGGAATTCTCTAATAGTGTACACTGTACACTACTAGTAAGCCTAACGGTCACATAGGCTTGAGAACTAATCTCCAAACGTGAAAACATTTAAACCAAACTACACCCTTACTCTATACATATCCCGCGCCCTCCACTTACACTTCCATCAACACACTTCACTAAGCTTCTCTTCCCCCCAAACTCTACCATGGAAAATTGCAGAAAAAGTCCACTTAAGCCATGGAAGAAAGGCCCCACAAGAGGCAAAGGTGGACCTCAGAATGCGACGTGCGAGTATCGAGGAGTTCGACAAAGAACATGGGGCAAATGGGTGGCAGAAATCAGAGAGCCCAAGAAGAGAACCAGACTCTGGTTGGGTTCTTTTGCCACTGCTGAAGAAGCAGCCATGGCTTACGACGAAGCTGCAAGGAGGTTATACGGGCCAGATGCTTACCTCAATTTACCCCATCTGCGATCGAATTTCAACCCTTTAAATAAATCACAGAAGTTCAAGTGGTTTCCATCCGACAACTTCATTTCAATGTTCCCAACGACTGGGTTGCTTAATCTAAATGCCCAACCCAGTGTGCATGTCATTCACCAGAGACTTGAAGAACTCAAAGCAACTGGGGTTTTTCGTCAGATATCTTCATCAAGCTCATCATCCAGTGACCTGCAGAAAAATGAAGTTCGAAGCATGAGTGACCAACCCCACGTAGAACATCCTGAAGGTAAGGAGAAAGAGGTAGAATTTTCATCGGAAACTACATCACTTGTACGCCAAGAGAAACCTCAGATAGATCTCAATGAGTTCTTAGAGCAGCTAGGTATACTGAAAAAGGATGATTCAACGGATACAACTGAGGTCTCCAGCAGTTTTACAGACCTAGAATCCCCATTAAAAGATGACGAGGGACTTGGTGTTTTTGCTGAGAAAAGTTTCAACTGGGAAACACCGAGTGAAATGCATGGACTAGGGGATCATCAAGTAACAGAAGCTAGTGGCTTCCATGCATATGACATTGATGATGAACTGAGTTTTCCAACATCTATTTGGAACTTCTGAAAGAACCAGCTGCATTGAAAGAGCATAATTTTAACTTCACAGAAGTTGAATTCACTCTAGACACCACTTATATGTCGCATAAATTAGTCGGTATTCTATAACTTATCCTGTGGCTCTGTATAAGTAGCAGTCTGAGATAGATACCTATTATAAAAAAAATAAAAAAAAGAAGAAGAAGAAGAAGAATAGGTTCAGGTTGAACAGAGAAAACACACAGAGAAAGAAGGGGGGGGGGGAACAAGAAGTGCTATGGTAGTTCAGAGGCGTGGCATTGATACATTTTGTAAGTGTTTTTGCCTTTTTGGTCAATGGTTGATTCGAACAAAGCTTATCCATGTGGACCTCAGTATTTAGTGTTTATGTTCTATTGTGCATTTTGTTTGATATTATTTCTGATTTACTGATGGCATGTGCAAGAAAGCCTACTAGAAAACAAACAAGTATCAACATCCTTCTAATTGGCGCTATTAATGCAAGTGGATGACACTTGCATTAAGGATCAGACAAAACAAAATATGAAACTTAAGAAAAGAAAATCAAAGAGAAATTGTGCACTATTTACCTGTGATCCAAGAACTTCATGAGCTGCAGTCAGTTGAATATCATGCCAAAATCTACACATTCACAACACATCATTAGAAAGCGATTAGTCTACAACAATTTTTCAAGAAAAGGAATGAGACTAAGAAAGTCTGAACAATTCAAAAACTGCCTGTCATTCTACCTGAAATTAGGTTGTGACGATTTCTGCCATGCTGAACTCTAGTAAATAATTCCCAGTGATACTGACGGCTGTGGTTAACCACCTTTTCCCTCTACCAATGGCTTGATAATGAGATCAAAAAATTACTATAAAAGTGTTCCATATGGTCACAATCGGCTGTTTCACGCACATTCAATATAACATTACTCTTGATACTTTTGCTTAGAGAAGATGCAATGCCTTGAAGGCAATCTAACTGAAGTGTCACATTCTTCCAACAAACCACAGATCACATAAAAGAGCATATCACTAAAATTGTATCACCATCACATAAAAAATGGAAGTTGGACTATTTGACAAATATACAATGTATATGAACAGTGTGTTCAACCAGTCTGATTCTTTCACACAATTTCTCAAGATAAATTTTACGAGCAAGGTCATTCCCTTCATTTGGAACAATGATGGAATTATCTTCAAGAATATATGATTCATCACATACAAGTGATGTGCTGTTTCGGGAAAATACTGTCAACGGACGAAAGATGCCCTAACTGAGCAGGAGAGATCCTTCTTCCATGCCTTTTTCGCTCATTCATTGCCATACTCTGAAGCACTCAAATACTCGCCATGCTCCTCAAAGTACTCGATTAGGCACTTCAAGAATTTATCACTAGTCACTGTCTCTGTGTCACAGACAAGACAACACTGTCTTCTTGCTCGCGTCACAGCAACATTCATTCGCCTGTGATCACTCAGAAACCCCACCTGAAATTAAAATTTTTCTTGTATTATATAACCATTATGCCAATTGATGTCATGACAATCTAGAGAGGTGATTGATAAAACTACTGTGGCTCCAGGGATACCTCTTTCCTTGAGTTTGATCGAACCATTGAAATGATAATGGCTTCCTTTTCCCGACCTTGAAAGCCATCAACCGTTGAGATCTCCATATCTTTTAGCTTGTCTTCATTGCTTTTCAACATCTTCAGTAAGACAACCTGTGATAACAATTGCAGCACACATAAGGAAACTAATATATATTACATGAAGACCTACTTAATATGCAGTCATTTAACCCCTAAGCGTACATACTAAACCTGTAATCCATGAGCACAAGTCCTTCAATGGATATTGTTATACCTGTGCTGCATAGGGAGCAATGATTCCAATATCAGAGGCTCGGACTCCACTCTGAACCAGTCTCTTTGCATGGGATATAGCAACCTCAGCTTCACCCTCATTCAATGTGCTATCTTCTTCATCCTTCTTTTCTTCCATGTCACACCTGTGACAGAACAATATGAAGCAAGTAAACAACAACGCAACAACAATTCTTGTGCCAAATCAGAGGCTTCGGAGAATCCTGAAAAAATAAAACACTTCATGTTGTTTATAATAGCATTTGAAACAATATTGCTTTTCAGCATTTATGTGCATTTTAAAAATTAATATACTTTTTGAAATCTGACGGAATGGTCATTGATCATTGGTGAGTGGTTGAGAAGTAGAAAAGTCGGATCCCGGGTCCTATTTGCAAGCTCAATATTGAGAAAGCCTATGATCACGTCAGCAGGCGCTCTTTGTTATCTATGATGGAGAGGAAGGGATTTCAGATTAGGTGGCGGAAGAGAATGGTGTATTTCTGTGGTGCTGTCTTTTTTATCAGGGAACACCCCCTTGCGTTTCTTTCCTAGTATTAGAGATGGGCATAGTAGACTCTGGATGAGAATTACAAAGCTTTAGATGCTGAAACTAAGAGGATTCACGGGAGTTTTTTCTTTTCTTTTTTTTTTGCGGGGGCCTTAGGTGGCCTTCAGGGGGAGTTTTGGGGCATATAGGGTGGGCTGAGGGAGGAGATCCAGATTCATGTTCAGTTTGGAATAGGGGACGAGGGAGGGTTGAGGTTCTCAGTGTGTGGGTGCCAGGGGGTGACATGGAATTGAAAGTCATTAGATGGGGGAAGAAAGGGTTCTTTTCCATGGAAGATGATATGGAAGTCTAATGCTCTGTCTAAGATTGCCTATTTTGCATGGACAGCAGCATGAGGATATATTCTCACGTTGAATTAGTTGAGGAGGTGGTGGTATCAATTCCAAAATAGATGCTCCATGTGTGTGTTATCAGAGAAGAAGTCCATGAGCCACCTTTTGTTGTTTTGCTTGGTTTCACACTACATGTAGTCATTAATCATTTTAGTTTTTGGTATGTTAGTAGTGAATACGTAAATCCAATGGAGAGCTGCTGGGGAGGGGGTTTTCCATGGAGAAACATGTGGGACATGTAGTCTATGGTTCCATTAGCACTATTTTGGTGTATAAAAGGAAAAGTCAAATTAAAGTGGTCACTGTTTATATGTTTTTCACTTGTGGATGAAGGTTTCTACCCTTCAGGCTTAGTCACATTTTTGGAGGAGGTGGGGCCATCTTAATTCGTAGTCTTTGATCACACTGTAATTTGAAGATGCCTCCTTAACTTCTAAAAATGAAATTATGCTTTTACTTACCAACAGAAAATGACATCGAAGTTATTTAATTTAACGTAGTTCAAAATTCCTTCTTGGACAAGTTTTAAGAAACCGTTATGAGAAACCCAGATCATTAACAGCAACAACAAACAGCATACCCAGCTATGTCTATGAGAAGAAGGGTTGGTTCTGTTGAAGATGTCTTCTTCACATCCTCAAGGTCAGACAACATATGTGCAGCAACACTTGGATGGGCTTTGATCTGTAATAAACAAACCGCATAATATCATACGCAAAATTAAGATCATCAACTTTTTATTGGGTTTTCCAAATGATACTATCCGCATATATAATCAATTAAAGAAAAAATTTTAATCCACCAATCAGCATTTGGACATGATCTGAGCACCTTACTGTTGTAAAGCTCTTTCGATGACCAATTCATAATAAGCTCATGCATGCGGTACTGTACAGTTAGCATAGACATGACTTCATCTTGGTACAAGTTTGCAAGGCGTTCAAAGAGGGTTCTTCCTAACCCTTTCTTCTCAGCTTCACCACTTTGGATGGTTGGAGGAAGCTGTAGGTGATCACCAGCAAGTATACACCTTGAGCCCTAAAACAATGGACCCAGTTTATTTTGTTATGCTCAAAGAATTAAAATAAGCTGAATATAAAAAAAGAAAGGATTAATTTTGCTCGAACCCACTATCCTAAGTGTCTTACCTTCCCGATATAAATTAAATACACATAAATTCCACAAAACACCACCTGAAAAGTTCAGAGGAATCCAGAGAAACATTTTTTATTTCACCTCAAAAGTTGAAAGAATTATGTGCAATTGCCTTCTAATTTTTTCTTCATTCAAACATTTCTGAAGAAAAATCATTCATATCCACAAACTTGAAAATACCATGTTTTTTATTGTTAGAACTTGTCTCACTTAGGTGTAATAACTAATAACACCTCCCAAACTAGTATACTAGCATTGTGGGTCTCTCCACTCATTGCTAATTTGTTGCGAGTTAGATGCTGGAATATTATATATATCAGACTTCAAGAGGTTTTGGGCTAGACTATATTTGCTGTCATTGATTTGGTATTTGATCCCTTATTTGTTCATGCCTTTAGTGCACATTGTTTATCTCTCGTTATGTCTTGTAGTTACTTCTATTAACCTCTGCAAATGTGAGCGGGCTCACAAGTGCATAGGTGTGTTAGAGCTTGTCCCACATCAGTATAATAGTACTTCCTAAACTAAGTATATGAGCCTTATGGGCCTCTCCACTCATTAACAAATAGTTTTGTGAAGCATGATTCAATATTTGCATTAGAAGAAAGAAAAGCATATCCAAAGTCTAATCAGAACAATCAATTGAGAAGCCCCTGATAGTTATAATTCTATGGACCTCACAAAGACATCTTTATGAACATGCTCATTTACGAGTGTGCTTTAACTAAGATCATGTATATATGCATGTGTTCCTGCCCATCATTACATCATTACCTTCAGTAGAGCAATCCAGCATGCTATTTCAAGTGCCTGGGCAGCTTCATCAATAATCACCAAATCAAATGAAGTACCCTCCAAATTTCGGGACAATGCACCAGTCAATGTTGTCAGCACCACATCTGCATTTTTAATGACATCTGTCACAGCTAGCTGCTGCCTTTTGCGCTCTTCTTTGGAAAGAGTCTTAAGCTCCCTCCTGATATCCCTCTTTGTGTTTCTGTCTTTAGCTTTCAGTAGTTTCCCATTCAGTGCCTGATGAAATTCATTGGGAAAACAAAGAAAGAAAAAAGAAAAACAAAACAAATATAATGTGAGATATTTGTCAAAATTACAATAACATCTAATCAAAGTTCTTTTGCTTAGAATATCTCTATCTCAATAAGGTTTGCCAAATTGCAAGAAAATATATTTGTAGAACCTACAAAT